TCTTTTTTGTAGTGAATCTTTAAATAGTTTACAGAAATAAACTGTGAAAATAAATAAAATACAATATGAAAGGACCCAGAAAATAGAAGTAATAGAGTAATGTACTAAAATAATAGAACCGAGTTTTTGGTGGTAAAATACAGCAACAGTATAAAATAGGAAATTTTAAGAAACGGTTCATTATCTTAAAACTATCTATCTCTCTAAAACTCTATTTCATACCTTTGCTCTCCCTTCTCTCTAGATTTCTTTAATCTTAGTTCATCTTTTCAACAATCAGACAGTGTATAAGCAATCTTGGCACCAAGAGCTTCCATTCCACCTATCAGTTTCCTGTTTAGAGTCGGTAAGTTTGTCTCTCTTTGATTCTTGAAATTTATGCAATTTTTTGTACATGCAAGCACTGTCCGGTTTGCATGTGTTCTTCGACTCTTCATATGAGTCCTGATTCTGCTTCTGGTTCGGTGGTTGGTTTTCTTTCACCGATCCAAAGTCTGTAGGTTGTCCTAGAATCACTTGCGATTTAACAAGACTGTGAAGAAGGTTAAATCTGTCAAGTTGTGCGGTTCGGTTAAGAAGTAAGAGAAGCTGGTTAATTTAATTAATATTTTCTGTGTATGAAATTTACTGTTTGGATGGTTGTATGTGTGTAATTTGAATGTTTGATTAAAATTGTGAATGTTGGAACCTGTGAACGGTTTGGAGTTCTCTGCATCAGTGGTCGATTTGTTATGATTTGGAGGAAGTGAGTATGTGAAAATGAGAATTTGGGGTTAGGAGTGAATTTAGTCAGTAAGAAGAGTCTGAGCATGTATAATTGAACTTATTAGAACCCTTAAGTCTCTATAAAATGTGTAAAAGGTAGAAAAATGGATTTTGGGTCATTGAGTTGTTGGTTATGCAGAATTTGGAGTGAAATCTGGTATGAGACTCTTTGGAAGGATGTTAGGAAGACTTAGGTACCCTTGGATAGGTGTAAATTGGTATATGATTCATGTGTGGAAGATTAGAAGTTGGGAAAAATGTTTAGTTTTGGTAAAGTCTAGCATGTTCATCATTCTGCAGAAGTTCTGCAGAATTATGCAAAAAGCTGAGCACGCGCTATTGACCGCTCGACCATGCGCTGATTGGCCGTTCGGCCATGTTCAAGTACTCGGTCATCAACTAGGTTCGGTCTCTTTAGAGTCTTACCTGTTCATGACCGTTCGATCTTCAGTATGGGTGGTCTTCCTCTTGTGTTCGGTCTTAACTGAGCTTTGCTTCTGTGAAATTCAATTAATGACAAAACAGCCTTATTAGCGTTCGATCTTAATAGTGCTCGGTTTTGTAATAGCGTTCGGTCGTAGTACGTTTGGTCTCCTATGGGTCTTTTGTTAATGAGCGTTCGATCATGTTTTGGTAATCGGTTTTATGATATTATTCGGTCTACATTCTAAATGTTTGGTCTAGGCCATAAGGATTATGTCTAAGTTCTTAGTATTCGGTAAGTTCTAAGTGTTCGGTTTAATTATAGTATTCGGTCCTCAAACTGTGTTAGACTTCGGCCATGTTCAGGGGTTGTATTGTTGTCGTTCGGTCTTCTTCTACGAAATGTTATTTGGTATTCAAATGTTTGTTTCTCTTTTGCGATGATCACCTGATTGGTGTGCACTTAGGGATACAACTTTTTCAGTCGGCTCATCGGAAGGTTGTCGGTATAGCAGTGATATAGGAGTATTTCGGTCTTCAAGTGAATAATTTAGTTCTTCATAAAATCATAGTTCTGTTCTTGTTTTATCAATGTAATGTTTCATTTTAGTAAGTTTTATATTAGTAAATTGGATGTTACACAATATAATCACTTTACTAAAAACTTCCTTGTATTATGTAATTAAATAAGGAAAATATGTTTTTCTTTTATTTTTTTTAACCTTGTTTCTAGTTGTTATGCTTTCAAATGGATAAGTTAGCCTTTTATATTCTAAAATTAATATAACATGTGATATTAGTCATCTTTTAAATTTAATATAATCATTTCGTGATAACATTTTATCTATACCTATATACCTATCTATATATATATATAT